ATTCAGGTTTTTTTTTATGCCTTTTTTTAATTCAAAGAACATTAAACACTCTCGGTCACATTTTGAAAAGCAAAATAATTGCCAATTCTGCTTAAGATTTCAAATTAAAATTGTACCGTGTGTCATCAGTCCCCCCTCTGCCAACAAATGAGTTTAATTAGTTTGTGAGAAAAAGACAGTCAGAAAGATTCAAACTGCCTCAGTGCACCCCAGTCTTTAAAACACAAGATTGTTCTCAAGTACACCAATGAAGCCGCCTCTAATTGTTTTTCCGTCCATTACATTTTACAGTTTGAGAGAGAGAAACCCAAAATTGAGCCTATAAATAAAATTGAATTATTGAATATACGGTATTTATACACACTGAAAATCTGGCTTTAAAATGAGAGGTTTTACACCTGGAATTCATGCATACAAACTTACAAAAAATTTGAAGAATGGAGGAAAACGTGAAGAATTTGTTTGATATTCAATAATGTCATTTACTTTGCTGATCGGTTCTGAAAGTTTCTGTTTAGTCTTGCTGAATACACACAGATGCAGAACTTGTATATACAAAGGCATGCATGCATTGTTCTTACTATCCATGACGCATTTAAGTATGTAACATTGTCAGTTTAAAAAAATGTACTGGTGTCATCAAGGGCTGTACATTTATTAAACTTTGTGATGATCTTATGATGAATCTGTGCCTCGAAATCCAAAACCAGGACAATGTGAGAAGTGAAACGTCAGGGAAAGCCTAGACAGATCACCTGCTCCTGGCTTACTGTACTTCAAAAGCAATTAAGCCTGTTTGAATCAATGCCCTCGGATTCAAAAGAAGACTTTAATGGCACCTCTAGGCAAAGCTGTTTTTGGGGCTGTGACAGTAACATCAATAATGATCTATTGCAGCAACCTGTCTTCTAAGATTCCCCAGATATCTCTAAAAAGTGTTCTGGGCTTCACCAAGTTGGTCTGAGACCAATGAATTCAAAAACGAAAACGAACGATTGGACATACCAGGACACACTATCTCCCGAGAGCCTCTCTTCCCTGTCGACTGGAGAGTACATCAAAATATTGCCACAAACCAAGCAAGGAAAAGATGATGTTATTATTGGTCCTCAGGAAATAAGAGACGGTTGGGGCCAAGGGAGCTCAGAAGTCAGAAGCAGACTCGATTACAAATTTGGAAACTTGCCTCTGCTTCGTCTTAGAAGATTTGGCTTTACCAATCTGAGGGAGAAGGGGATGAAGAGGGAGAATGTGTGAGCCTGCAAGAGCTGACTTGATAGCTCTGATATACTTGTCAGTGTGAGGGACTGAGTAATAAATTATCAAAGTTTACTCTCCGTGCCTAATAAAATATGTTTATAGCCCAAATAACAGGAATGTATTTCAACATATTTCAACATTTTATGTTAACATATAATACAAATATGTTTTCATAAAGAGAGCACAATTCTTTTGTTAATTTTATTTCACATATAAAGTTGTTTATCTGAAGACTGACTGAATACTGCCTAGGACCAAATTTACGGTAATTAAAATGTTTCCAGTCAGAACAATCGACTTAAATTAATATCCACCTACTAGCTTTCCCCCCATGCTTTCAATCATGTCTTGTGGTCTTGGACAGCAAATTGAGTTTGCTCAATTGTCAGATGATAACAGTTTAGTATCATGTGAAGTTCCATAATTGACAACCGAGTTATTTCCATGACAATATAAAAAAAATCCCATGAGGTATGGTTGAAAGCCTTGGGGAAAAAACCGATGTAGATCTCAAGTTAAGATCTTTTCTTATCAAAGCCTTACCAAAAAAAATTATGTATTTTGGTTACAATATCATTCAGTGACAGTCACCAAAGCCAATCAAGTTAAACAAAGCCTTTCATAGTTAAGATTACGAACATACAAAACATGGCACATGCAACATGAATCTATCTTCACAGTATATGATATGGAATAGATTTGTCCCACAAAAAAAATCACTTTTTTGTTCCGACTGCTGCCTGATGAATCCTCAGAAAATTGTTCAAGAAGAAAAGATACTCTTTAGCTATAAATTTAGCTAGATTGAAAGGAAAGTTTAATGAGGCACTCTGCGTCCTCAAGTAATAGCTTGGAGGCGCAATACTACATTGTGTTTTTATTATTTTAAAGGTGATGACAATCGGGTCTAAAATGTTCATATTTTTAAGTAATAATTTACTTTATAAGTAAGACAGAGGATTTTAGATGCAAAAGTTATTGAAAGAGCTGGTTTTTTGTTTCAGATTTGTGCACATACTGTTTTGCATTCCCAAAAGTCAGCACAGTTACAGGAAGGCTTTGAGGTAAGATCATTTAGAGATCTGAGGAAATAAAACCATGTAAGGCGCATATGGTACTAATATGGTAATTTGCTACCCAAGCTGAGTAAAGATGAGTGTATTGGTGCTTATATATTATGCCATAATCATAAAATCATAATAATAAAATTCAAGTACGAAACACGGTCCTAAAACAAGGGAGAACTTGTAATGCTGCCCAGATCTCCCATTCTTTTTATTTCACCCTGTATCTCTGACACATCCAAACCCACAAGAGAAACGGACTGTTTGTCCCTCCCTCCTCCCCTTCCTAACCTTTTGGGGGTAATGGTGTTAGTTTAACAATCAGTACAACAATTTTCACACGTGGCATTGTTGATGTGATTCTTTATTAATCAGTGGCAGGTGTTCTCGTCACAGCTGGTTAACTCGTGCTGATGTGAAAGGCTGTCAAGCTTCATTGTCTGCCATTGGCTGCTGCAGTCTGTGGTGTGTATTCTGTGTGCCACATCACACAGTTCAGGTGCCACAGACACAAACAGGCCACCTGGGTGCTTGTGTCAGCCAGAGGCCTTGCTTTACATCTGTTGGTGCTACCTATTTGTTACTATTTTACTCCCTGTTGAGCAGAGATGGAGGAACGTTCTACATTAGTATAACAGAAGAGATTAGAGTAAAATTGATAAGAAGTTAGAAACAATGAGAAATGGAAGCTGCAGTTTTGTTTTATTGTTTCATGTTCATGTGTGCCATGCTGTGCTATGCCTGTAATGTTCACTTTCTAAGCTCTGTACAACAGTGCTTGAGCTAAATAACATGAGCTAACATGCTCACAATGAAAATCCTAACATGTAGATGTTTAGCAGGTACATTATAAGGTTTACCATAATTCACCCTCTTAGTTTAATGGGTTATGTCAGCATTTACTAATTCATTGGAAATGACATAGATTTGGGTAAAAATCAACATATTACCAATTAATATTTGACCTTAAGAGGACTCTACAATCCTGAGGGGGGCATGAATGTCTGGACTGTACCAAATTCCATGATGAACAGTCTGTTGAGTCTCCAATATCCTCCTTGATCCATCCTTTGGGATGTCTCCGTCCCTTGATGTCTCTACAAACTGTTATGGTAATCTGTCCAACAGATGTGGAGATGTTTCAGTCTGGACCAAAGTAAGATACACTAACAAAAGTAGATACATAGCATAATTCCAAGTAAAATCTTCCTTTAAAAGTTAATCCTGCATGACTCAATTCTCCTCAAATAAAATAAAAAACAACTCTGTGCCAAAAGAGAAATCAAAACTTTTAATGAATGCATTTTCTATTACAAAAGAAGCATTTTTAGCTCTGCACATTCTTTATAACATAACAGCAGGATGAGTTCCAGCTCCAGCTGGCAGTGCTTGTCGTGTTGTTTTGTTTTTCCAAACATTTTCTTTCAAAAATGTTTAGCACTGAGACGCTGCAGTGGCCTGTCGGAGGGTCTGAGATTTTGGCAGGTTGTTGTATTACACTGTTTTATTCTGTTTAGCTCCATCACAATGTGTATAAGAGGGGAGTGCTGTAAAGAAATCAGTGCGACAACACTGTCATTGCAACTTGCATGACAGTACCTGGCAGCAACTGTAAAGCCTTTCTATCGCTGTTGTTTAGTTATTTCTTTGTCACTACTATACTCGCTTGTCACCGTCATAAAAAGCAAACACTGCAGAAGCTGCATTAACCCATGAGGACCGTTTTATTCCTTTTTCCACACAACTGATGTCAACCCTCAGATGCATGATCCTTCAGTTTGAGAAATTGGACAATGCGTCAGGGCAATCTGAAAATAGATTGTGTTGAAATTTTGTGCACATCAAGCACAAACACTGTATTACTGGATCACAGGCAATTTGCCTTTTTATACAACAGTGTGCCTCAGTAAAATGATTCAGGGACTCCTGCTGTTCATTCCCCAAAACCTATATGGTTCTTTATTACAAAGCCCCTAAAAATACAGTCTTCTGCCATCCAGTTTTGGAGCTGATGCAGCATGCAGACATCACTGCCTGAGTGAAGGATAAGCCTCCATAGAAGCAGCGTTCCCTCAGATGTATTTGAATAAGACATGATGCCAGTTTATTTTTGTAACATCCCCCACCCCAGACTCTTGGCAAGCAATGGAGTTGTGACTAACCCTCTTCCAGTTTCCACATTAGGTGTAAAAAAAAAAGAAAAAAGAAAAATACTGAATCTATGTCTATGTGCAGTGGGGCTTATAACTTATCAATATACAGTATTAACCATTTCACACATAAGAGCCAGAAACGCCAGCATAGCAGCGGTATATTACCAGCCCCTGGGGGGAGGGATTCCTCCTGTGAATCTGAATGGTGTGCATCCAAATTAGAGTTCATTACTTTACAGTGACACACTTTTCCTCAGCTGCATTTTCAGCCCGGGCTCTTTGATGTTAAATAATGAACAGGCGTCACACAGCCACACTGCTCATGAAGGTGTCTATAGCCAAGAATCTCTGTAAGGCATTTGACTCTTAGGCCTGTCCAAACTGCTATGTTTAAACCTGGCTGACTGTCCTTGAATGTCTCATGGGGGGCACATGAAGGCACACGCTGTGAAAATACAAAGAGAGCAGCTCTTACAATCCCTCATCACTGAATCATATTCACTGAAATGTCTTTATTTTACAGGTCTGGACTCAGTGTTGCCTGTCTGCGCGAGTAGACACGGCAGAGGAAGAGGGAAAGGAGATGGTCGGCTGAGGTGTCACAGAGGATGTCACCACTACGAAGCTTGTCCAGTATGCAGTGTGGTCTTCCCAGCTGCGCATCACCAGTGGTGCCATGATCCAGTTATAACTGTGGGTGAGCATCCAAAGCCTTTTTCATTCACATGGTTGTATTAATTACACACAAGCAATGGTATTAAAAGGGGCATTTCACTTTACACATGAAGGTCAGCTTACTGGTCACATGTAGTGCTACTCAACCTCTGAAATCAGTTTTATTTTCTCTCGATGACCATTGTCAAGTCTGAGAAAATAAGATGTCATAGTGATGTCATCAGGGTTATCTCAGTTTTGGATTAGGGACTATAAATGTCTCATTGCAAACTAAAGGTGAGGAGTTTGAAAGATGTGGGCATTTACCAGGCAGCGAGGGTCTAACAAAAGATGCTATCAGGTTGCATTGTGGGAAATGTAGTGGAGTTAATTATTTGGGGCTCTTGACTTACAATGGGGACTGAAAGGATATCTCAGCTTCTGCTGATTCCATTTTGACCATTCTAATTTTAATCCATCTTTTGCCGTGGTCCAACTTTATGAAAGTGGAATATCCCCGTAAAGTCTATTAAATGCCGTCTGTATTTGCAGAGCGATCCGCCTTGTTGAAATTGGCTTTTTGGATAAAAAAACATACTTGGGTAAAGAACTGACTAGATCGAAAAAGGTTTTTCTAGGTTTTCTGGGAGAAAATTCTGTTTTCTAAAAAAAAAAAAAAGCTATCATTTTTCAGCCACCAGATACTTTCTCCCAATACTAAGTGCATATTTACAAAGTCAAAAAATCCATTTAACATAAAATGTAAGCAATAGCAATGATGTCTGATGGGTAGATGTTCGGCAATAATGGGGATTTGTTCTCTGTGAGTGCCTTCCAGATTACATGAACTACTGATAAGAAGTGTCTTTTTTTTTCTTTGGAAATGAGTATATTTGCTACCTATAGACTAGAAATTGGTTATTAAAAAAGGGTTTGTTTGCATTTCTGGCATTTGTAAGCGTGTGTAAAATAGCTGTATTTCACGTTATGATGAGATGGTCTACAAGGCGTATTTTTCTCCAACTGTAGCATTAACATGGTTAAACCTTTTTCTTTCAAAAAGTGCATTTGGTTTATTTTTTTCATGGTGTGCTAGAAGATTGTCCATCTGTCCCCCATATCTCCCATCAAAAACATGGCTCAAAGGGATGCAGTCACTGTGCTTATCAGAGTCCCATACCATCAGGACATGGACATAGAAGGGGATAATGTCTTTTTCTGTACAACTTCTTATACTTCTACATAAGCGTGCAGAACCATGCACAATAATATTTTCCACTGAGGACTTTGTAATTCACCTTCCCTCTTGAAGTAGAAAAAAAACTGCTTTAGAACTTAGGAGTTCCAATTTCTTTATCAGCCGGAAGCATGTATACGGTGTAGGGTTTGTGTCACAACTATACATACTTAAGCCATTCTTACCCGATGGCTTGGGCATTAATGGTGTATTTATTTACAGAGCTCAATAAACATAATTGGTATGTACAAATATGTTAAGCCTCCATATTCTGCTACCTTCCCAAGCAGTGAGAGCAGGATCACTGTGGGGAATATGATGACTTGTTTCCTCATGTGTAAAGCTGAAATGAACACGGCAAACACCTGTGCTCACATTATGTCTGCTTTTCTCCTTTGTTTAATTGAGCACATCAGTTAATAACTGCATTTTTCCAGTTAGGGCTCGGCGTAATGCCAGAAGCCTATTAAGGAGGAGGAGAGACAGAGCCTGGGAGAGATGTGGAGGTCTGTCATCTTCAAATTCAATGTAAATGAGCTGCATGGCAATGAAGTGCAGTACAGGGAGTGGACACAATCATAAGAACGTCAGTTATGTTCTCCAGTGTTCATTTGTCTTTTTCATAACTTCTGGCAGACTATTACGTAAAAATGCAACTGGAGGAGGGAAAAATGTGTCTCATTCATGAAACATGCAATTTGTTCATAAAATGTTAACAGAGGAAGATGTGTGTTTAAATACAAGCTTTCTTTCACTCCAGGTCTTAAAAAGGCCTGGTCTATTTTTTTTTATTCTACCATAAATTTGAGAATTGTGGAAGCAGGAGGCTTTCAACTTTTTGTAGGGTAGCTCGGAAGTTGGCAACACCCTGGTTCCTTTGACAAAAAGCCAATGGGACTTTTCCATTGAATTTTGGATTATTGCAGAAAACAAACTCTGTGGCAAAAAACAAAGGTTTATGATATACATGTTTTGTCGGCAAGATAATTGTCACAAATTAACATCACTTTTATGATTTTTGAAGTGTAAATACAATAGCCCGAAGTCTTCATTTAAGGCATCAAATCAAAACCCATTAAAAAAACTTGCTGACTTTAAGTTGAGGTAACTATATATATAATATATATATATAACCATATATATTCTTGAATTTCCCTCTGGATAAATAAAGTTATCTATCTATCTATCTATCTATCTATCTATCTATCTATCTATCTATCTATCTATCTTATCTATCTATCTATCTATCTATCTAATCTATCTATCTATCTATCTATCTATCTTCTATCTATCTATCTATCGCGCTAAAATGCCTACTCATTTCCGGTTTTAGGACTCGTTCCTGCAGCACTCCATACAACTCTTTACCCTCCTCCTGTGATCTGAATGTATGCTAACTGGGAAGCAGAAACTTGGAGGCTAAACCTTCTTTGACCTCACAGACTGTACCTTTATTAGAGGAGGCAGTAACAGCTTGGCAGTAACATTGAGAGAGCACAAGAAGATAAGAGGAGCGCAAGTTAATATAAACACTGCTGAGGTCAAATGATGTCAGTGAGGAAGGCAATGCATTGAATGTATTTAATAAGTTCGTTAGACTGAAGAAAACATAGATTTTTTAACCTTTTTCATTAATGTGTATATTACACAAATTCAAAGACTTAATCCTATTTCTAATCAAACTGTGAGAATTAAATTACATTTTAAGAAGGTTATATTAATTTGTGGATGCTATTTAAATTCATTCCCACATAATGTTTTTCATGCTGTAATTAGACGGATACAAAGCTGAACCAAGTAATCTGGACTCTGCACATTTGCCAAACAGTCAACCCGCAGTCTGGTGACATCGTTTCCTGCCATTTGGCCGGTAAATATTTTCAGCACTGGGCATGAAGTCACCGCCCCATCCTCAGTGATGGCACCAATGAGCTCATCGGTTGGCAGAGGGCACAAGCTCCTGCTCCATGGCCTCCTCCAGTGGCTTACTATGACCTTCGTCTTGTTGGCTGTGACACACTTACAGTTACCATTTTATTCTACAGCCTTTAAGTTTTAACTTCTTAGTTTTCTGCGTAGGTTGAACAACTGTCACCTGCTCCATCATTGTACTCTTAATGTCTTCAGTAAGGCTGTTATGGTGCTGTGTTTGCTGCAGGATAATATTTTAGAGTAGACTGACAGAACCAAAGTTTTCACTTTCCGCATGAATATCGGTGTCCCTTAGTGTCTAATATTGTGTTTCTGAGTCTTTTAATTATAATTAAGGTCCTGTGAATGTGCCCTATTCATTGTCATTTGCTTGAATCTGACGCAGGTTATTTCTCTAAATGTTTGGTACGTGCAGTTATGAACACAAATTCAAACATTTCATAATTTTTTCAGGGTTTTCCCAAGTGACTTGACCTGAATTATAAAAGGCGGAATGATAATACATACATTTTTCTTTTCAGGTAATGCCGAGCCAAATAACCAATCCTGGAGATGCCGAAGAGAAGAGATATTCTTGCCATCGTGTTGATCGTGTTACCCTGGACTCTGCTCATCACTGTTTGGCACCAAAGCGCTATAGCTCCACTCCTCGCCATCCGCAAGGGTACGCAGTGCACTGCACTCCACTGACAATATCCAACTTGAAGTGGGTCCTTGAACCTAACACTACACTTCAGAATTAGACAACAGGCCGTTCATTTAGAGGCACTCAGTAACCATGACCATCAGCTTCATCAGAGCTCAATAACACTTGTCCAGTCATTGTAAACCTCATCAGTGTCGATGGTTTATGTGCATGAGGAAGAGTTAGAAGTTACCTTATATGCTCTCATACACATAAGAGTTATTTTTATATTGCTGTATGAGTTGAATAGAATGAATTGTTCAGCTGTTTCTAACATGCATTTATTTTTCTTCTGTTGATAATAACTTGCCCAGTGCAGTATGCTAATAAACATTGTCCTTTCGCAGTATTCACACAGCCTATCCCCATCAATTCATATTTTCTTCTTGGTGACGCTCAACCACACACAGCATGTAGCACACGGCAGCATGTTAATCATTCATTTTATCCATTTAGGTTAAATTATTCCCCAGTTTCACACAGTGGACATTAATTCCAGAGTTAGTTTAATCATCAATTTGAAATAATAACTGTCTGTTTGTTCAGCTTCATGGAATATATTGTGTCCACATGTAATATCACATTTGCACACCAGTCTGAGTCATTAATACACATACTCCTGAGCATCCCAATCATCCCCTAGGGACCACAAACCAACGGTGTAAAATGTCAAGTATGCTGCAGAGTAAACTAACCCAAATTAGAGCGACAGCAAATCAATAGCGATCTTTGCCCTCTTCTTATAATGTCATGAATGCCCATACAGGGGTTAACGAACAAAACAGGTTTCCAAAAATGACCCAAGGCAGTCTGGAGTCAATAGAACTTACAAATGATTATATATTTATTAAATCATTTGTTTTTGCAGATTGCATCTAAACACCTAAATTAATGTTTGATTAGCTGACAATCATAGAAAAGAATGCCAAAAGGCTGCCTTGTATGAAAAAGATGTAAACAATAAACTGCATACAATACTTTTAATATCTTATGGGATATAGTGAAGACACAATGAAGTGTAAAAAATATAATTTTTGCCAGTGCTATCTGACCCAGCTTTATACACTGGCTTCCCTTTGTGTGCTCTTAAAAGAGAAGCTAGGGTTTTTTGGCAGCATGCTCGCTGGCAGCCTCTGTTGAACATCTGGCCATCAGCAGATTGTGTTAATCTATGTGCTGCAGAAAAATCCTCCTTATGTTGGAGGTGCGAATGGAGCTTGGGTAGAACAGTGACAAAGATTGCCATTAGCTGTGGCACAATGAAAAGAAATTAACAACCTTAATGGTTCTATAATCATATTCTATCCATCATGACCAAACTATTGGGCCCAGAACAACACAGCCTCTACCACTGGAGTCAACTCAGTATGTGTCAGCTGACTGACTGAGCACAGTTAACATGCAAGTTGTGAGTAAGTGGTTACATTTTTCTCACTTGAACATTCAAAATTGTAATTACCGTCCCATAGAAGAAATAAACAAGGAAAAAGCTGTGCTAGTAGTAGCACAGCAGCCACTCATGTAGCTGTAATGCCCAACATGACCCCAAAGGTTGAATACAGAGACGTTGATTCTCACCTGAAGTTTTGTACTTGGCTGCACAACCACCCCTATTTTATACAACAATGTTTATCTCGCTATAAAGAAAACCCCCAGTTTCTTGTGAAAGTGTTTAAAAACACTTTATGTACAGCTGCATTTGCAACTTTTGTCTCCATGGACCCAAAGAGAATTCAGATAAAACACCAATTCATGCATGTCTCTAGGCAGATCTCCATAAGGACACGTGGAATCTGAAAATGAATACTTAAACCCTTGGAGCCATTTAAGAGACTAAACATATTTACATATATGGTAGTGGAGTTTGTGATTGTGTTCAATCCAACAAGTTCCTACTTGATAACAGTACCAATCAAGACTCTGCTCACAGCAATCACAGCAATTTTTAGCATATTTAAGGATCTCTGTAGCAAAATATATTATAAAATGTGAACACTGAGACTTCCTGATTTCAGAAAAATAACTCATAGCTGTGTTTATTGCACGGAAGTAACATAGTGGTAGTAAGCTACCCAGAGCATTGGGAGTCTGTGGTGGAGTCTGAACATAAAAAGAGGGCATCTCAACTGGATCCACATACCCACATTTTTTCTTTTCTTTATAAAGAAAAGCCCAAAGGCAATGCTGGGGGAATGGCTCATCTCTCCCCTCCTTTTCTCTGCGCTGTCTCTCTGTCCATCAGCTGTGTTATCCTCTCACGGTGCCTGCTTTCACTTTTTGCAGCCTGTCACCACCTAGTAAAAGAGATCTTTATCATTCCAGAGAGGCTTGCAGTCCGCCACCACCGGCTCTCAGGTACACTTTACCCCCATTGGGTTTAAGTCACCTGAGGCAAATATACAAAGGGCAGCCCAAGGTTGCACTAATGCCTTACATGTCTTCTTATCCCCAAATCTGCAGATGATGGTGTCGAGGGCAAGAGGGAGGCAGGTGGCCAGGCGCAGGACTCCAAGGAATACTGTGCCTCAGATAAGGACATTGTGGAAGTGGTGAGGACAGAGTATGTGTACACGCGGCCTCCACCCTGGTCCGATGTGCTGCCTACCATACACATCATCACCCCCACTTATAGTCGACCAGTACAGAAGGCGGAGCTGACACGGCTGGCAAACACCTTCCTCCACGTTCCCAACCTGCACTGGATCCTGGTGGAGGACTCGCAAAGGAGAACGCCTCTTGTCACGCGGCTCCTCCGGGAAACAGGGCTTAACTACACGCACCTCAATGTAGAGACGCCCAGGAACTATAAGCTGCGGGGTGACACTCGGGACCCCAGAATCCCCAGGGGGACCATGCAGAGGAATCTGGCCCTGCGGTGGCTGAGGGAGACATTCAACGCCAACAGCAGCCAAGCTGGAATCGTCTACTTTGCTGACGATGACAACACGTACAGCTTGGAGCTGTTTGAGGAGGTCAGTGCTGATATATTTCATGCATTTTTACGAAAATGACAAGGAAGACAAGGGACAATGAGAGTATTGTTTTGATATTTAGAAAATGTCTCTCAATTCAATGCTGTGGTGAGTGGATGTTTGCCATGATACATCAGCAGTAAACGATGGCTAGCATGTACATGTAGCTGAATTAGCTTCTTTATAGTTGCTTATGTGTTCTTATACATCCCAGAGTAACTGCATATACAACTGTAAATCCTGCCCAGATTCTTACCATAACCCAATTACCTCCAACCTTAACTTATTAAGTATTTCCAAATTCCATCATCTAAAGCCCACATCTTTAGTAATCTTACGCTGAAACCTAACCTTAGTTTGTACACACCAAATGTTGCCAACTCTTCACCACTATTGACAATTCTCAAGCTCCATCCACCTTTCAATTGCTGCACCGCTGATGTCCACTTGACTGTCAGAAAAACAAACCGTGTGCAGAGTGCACGGTGAGTAATTTAGGGGGCCTGGGAGATTGAACGATTCCCAGCAAAAACACACAGGCCAGCTGGTTATGCTTTCTTAGATAGCTTGAAATCTTAGCAGCCATTCGGCCAGCAGAGGAGCAGCTGGAATTGATCAGCAGAGCCAAAAATCAGTGAACCTTCAGCAATATATTATGGTCGTGTTGGGCAAAGATCCGGCAAAATAAAACTGCACTTTTAAATAGGCTCTAAAATGTTATGTCTAAATGACAAAATGTTATATTGTGTGTGAATTTTTAGTGCATGGCAAAAGGAATCTTGCCAATGATATTCTGTACTGTAAGTGTATATTACTATTGGAATAGTATAGAATAACAAATACACACAAATGTAAATGTTTCTTTCTTTTGAATCCATCTGTCATTTTAGTTTAATATAAAGTATATATCAAGTAAAACATATAATATATTATATAGCAGTTCCCAGAGCCATATACTGCAGGCATCTGTGGCATGTTATGTAGGGAGGAGTTGGAGTATACAAATTCCCAGTTACTTCCCAGCATTTTCTTTTTTTTTTTTAACAAGCATAGTCATGGATGTGGAGCTAGTGGAGGAGAGAAGTTTGGGCATGTAATCAGTACATCTCAGGCTATCCATCTTGACATCAGTTGAATTACCTGAGCGTACACGGCCTAGGTCCTCTGAGTATTAGCCTCAAGTCTTGTTAGTAGTGCAGACGGGGTCCGTAGTAAATGGAGCGCCGGGTATTGACGGGGCCTGTCATTACCTTTCTCTGGGAATCAGCTGAAGTGCTCTGTCTCCCTCAGAGGCCCTCCATCACCTCCAACAGGCCTATTTATGGGCCAGAGTAACGGCCCTGAGGGGGAGAGAGAGAGGCGGAGAGGGAGAGACAGAAAAAGAACGAGAGAAAAAGAGAAAGTGACAGCCAGATAGACAGAAGGCAGAGTTGACTGCAACTACAGTATAGTTTGCTGACACCATAGTAAAAAATCAGGAGTTTGCTGACACCATAGTAAATATTCAGAGTGCCTCAACAGCTTGAAAACAGATAGGCGTTTAAGTGACTCCTACAGTGTGGAGACAAGGTTAAAGATTGATGCACGCTGCTCCATGCGTTAAAGATAGGCTCATCATTTTCTCCTGGTTAATCTAAAGTGAGCTAATCCTTTGATATTGAGCAATCACAAAACATTTTTAAATCTAATCTTGTAATATAAATGATAACTAGTTAGAGGTAGTTACATGCTGATGAGCTGTCGGCATCAAGGAAAACAGTCAAATCGAATAAAACCTCTCTGTTTAAAACCTAAAATTAGGTGATAGCAGACACAGTTGTAGCTATTCAAAACTGTTTCACTAAGAGCTCATTTGTTATCATTTGAACATAAGTACACAAATGTTGTTTTTTGGGGGTTTATTCCCGTAGAAGATGAACTGGTAGTAAAACAGATTTAAAATAATATAATATCAGAGCCAAATCTGGACGTAGGGACAGTTTAAACACGTGAATAAATGGTTGTTACATGTTTATATGGAATCAAATGAATGTATCTTGTGTTTACAATACAGCTCAAAGCATCTGATACTGTATAGACTATAGAGTAATGAAGACAGTTAACCAGTGCAAAACTGACTGTAATTGTTGTAACTGAACAAACTGCCAGAGAATTTGGTAACGTAGATTAGTATTGTTTTCCACCTCTTCATACCCACAGTGTGAATACAGTCTCAGTCTTTTTAGTAGCTCTGGTGCATACAGTTCTTTATTAAATTAATACTTTTTAGGCCATGCCTTAATGAAAACAAACAACAAAAAAACTCATGAAAAATTCATTTCTCACAGTTAAAGTACACCACCCTGTAAAGAACTCCATAAATTATTGAGACTTCATAAGAAAAGTTTATGGTTCCTTCCCAAACCACAAAGTTATTTACAGGCCTGTGCTATTTTTAACCAACGCTTTCAGTTCTCAATTTCAGCCTTTAAGAATAATTGTCAACAAATTTAATTCAAAAGAATGACGCAAACCACAAAAGCAGAATTTGTGTCGCAGGGTTGGATGATATTGACAAAATCTAATATTGTAACATGTCAGTATTGACATTATTATGATATCTAATGGAGCTTTCATATTATATTTACACTCCCATTTGTAATGCAAAGTGTGATATCCACCAACTTAATTCTGCATATTTTAAATATACATTTATAATGAATTACATGGAAAGTTAATGAGGATCATAAAATCTAAATAACTTGCCTATTGTTTGGACAAAGACTTGAATCTTCAGACTCCTCCAATGGCAACAATGAATGACAGTTCTGTTTTTCTGCACCCTTAAGGGCTGATTAATGTACCTGGATGGCTGCCTTCTTTTGTGTTGGAATATATTTTCTTTGTATTCCTTCTTTGACTATTTTGAAACATGGGCACTGTCTCTGAAGACCACTTTCTGAGTGGAAATAGAGCTCAAACACACACATAGGCATTCAAATACCAACTGTAGCAACAGTGAACAAAAAAAAAAAAAAAGCTGAACAAACACACATCATATTTACCAGAATGGGACAAGAGGAACTTTGTTGTGTTTTCATTTGCTTGGGTGCCAGCAGAAGAGGGATTTGTGCTGTTTTACTCTGGCTGATATTCCCACCAGAGGCAGCAGGCGGAACACTCTTTTCCACATTTTCAGTATAGATGGGAAAGTGACAAGCCTCTTGATGTTTCCTGCACAGCGTCTGATTTATGCTTCCCTTTGATTTAACTGGCTGTGCGTATATATATATATATATATATATATATATATGTGTGTGTGTGTGAGGGAAGCAGGCAGGTGATGTTTGGGCAAACGGGGTTGTTGGCTGGATTCAGTTGTGGCCTGGCTACAAAAAACCTGGCAAGACAACCTGTAAGAAGGTTCTTAAAGCAGCTCCTCTGCACTCAAAAGCAGTTTTTGTAAATGGGTAACGGTATGGAAAAAGCAGGGCATCGCTAACAAACCACATGTAGGACATATAACAGCAGGAAAAATTACTGTGATCCCGTATATAAAATTATAGCAGCGCAGTCACAAGGACTCGATCTCTCTTCAACCATTAACACCCAGAGCTCATTAAGACCAAACATCCTGCCAAATCTTATCTGGATGCCTGGCACAGTCATTTTCCCTATAGCTCAAATCCGCAGATTCTCATAAGCCCCCAGCCTGTTTAACGCTGTTAACACCCTGTTTCTCACTGATCCCCTGAACTGACCACACAGCAGCCCATCAAGTCACACACCAATCTAACACAGAAGCCCATCATATCACGCACCAGTGCATGCATGCTCTTATATGCATGCAAGCACTCTAATGTATCTTATACCATCAACACACATACTAGATACTGTACAGGCACTTGCACCTTCGTTTTAAATAGACTGTCCTCCAGCGAGGCACCAGCATCATTATTTCTGCTGCATTGAGTTTGATTAAATGACTCTGTTCCTAAACCTTCCTCTTCCCTTATTGTAAAAACCTATCTTTTATGACTGCAGCAGTTCTTGTCCAAATGGCAAAGACTCACTGAGAGGCAGACAAAGAAAAGGGCGGCGTGGTTGTTTGATGCTGGATGATTAAAGGATAAAAAAAAGGAGGATGGAGGTGCTCTACCTTGAAGTATCTCCTCAGCCAACCAGCAACTAGAGCCACTTGCTCTAATGGCTTGGCTCCTTCAAAGCCTCTTGGCACTGTCCGCTTTTCCTCTTTTTAAAGATGGTTGTGTCTAATTATCTCATTGTAAGGCAGCTGTTGAACAATGTGTGTGATCTGCTTTCATCTAACACTGTGTCAGCTGCACATGGCACAATGGTTTGGTCAATATTCACCGTCTTTCAGAATGAATAATAGCAGCAGCTCTAAAAACCCTGCGTCCATGCTCTGCTGTAACGCTGGCAGCTGATGCTCAAATACTGTGTCTCACTGTCATGTACGCTTTTTCAGATGACTAATTCGCTCTCTTTCCTCCTCCATTTCTCTTCTCAACTCTCCCCTCGCTAGATGAGATCGACTCGGAAAGTTTCAGTGTGGCCTGTGGCCTTTGTGGGCGGCTTGCGGTACGAGTCCCCCAAAGTCAATGCAGCTGGAAAGGTCTACGGCTGGAAGACGGTGTTTGACCCCCATCGGCCCTTTGCCATCGACATGGCTGGCTTTGCCATCAACCTGAGGCTCATCCTCTTCAAGCCACAGGCGTATTTTAAGCTTCGTGGGGTGAAGGGAGGCTACCAGGAAAGTAGTTTGCTCCGGGAACTTGTCACACTCAACGACCTGGAGCCTAAAGCAGCCAATTGCACTAAGGTAATTTATTTTTCCTTTTCAGCAGCTTGACTTGAGCAGTGAGTGGTTAATGGATAGCCTGAATTGTTTCTGAGGATGGTACAAACTGCTGCAGCCAGTTGTGGAAGAAGTGTATAGATCCTTTACTTAAGTAAAAGTACAAATGTCTCATCATAAAAATTTACCTAAAGTATCAAAAGTAAAAGCACTGTTTCTGAGGTTCAATGGATGCTGTAACTGATAGATTATTATATATAACATTATTATTAATACTGATGCATCAGTGTATAAACAGCATTTTACTGCTGGAGCTGCTCTAGGTGGAGCTGGTTTTAACTACTTTAGCAGTCTAGTGGTTAACTACTTAAGGGTCCTCTAAGGGCTTACAAGACAAATCTGAGAGGTTGTGAAAAAATCAGTATTTAATTTTCAACTTTTCTCTAATCTTGATTTTCTTGGTGAAATCAAACCGACTGAGAACCATCAAGCGTTAGAAATTCTCTCTATAACGAAACTGCTTAGAACTTTAGTGCTTTTAGTAAGAGGTCACAAGCCAAACAGGTCGGGGGTTACTGGTTCAATCTTTAACCACACATTGTATTTTATAAGCTTATCATGTATGTTTCTATTGTTAATTTCCATCCGTAAAGCAATGAGTTACTATAGCTGCACAATGAACGCAGTGTAGTAAAAAGTGCATGTTACTTTTAAATGTAGTGGAGTAAAGGTATGAAGCAGTAGAAAATGGAAGGAATTCATTCCCGCACTGACTGTAGCATACCAAAACCACAACCTGCATATCAGGTTATATTACCTTGAAAATGTCTTGTTAAATCTTTTTTTTTTGCTGTTAATCCATCGGTGTAAAATATATTTTACCAATAATTCAGTTTCAGTAGAAAGAATGTGTAAAGAAATACATTTTTTCACAGTTTAAATCAGACCCCCAACTGATTGTCACCCTCAGCATCAGATGTAATTATTGTTTTCATAATGTAATAGACTTTCTAGCTTTATACTACTAACACCATTGCAGGCATGTTGCCTTGATAATGCAATATATGGTAGTCATACCAAAAACACAACAAGGATGTGGAACTGTGACTTCCCATAAATAAATGAATAAAGACACTAGCAGAAACTATACTCCCAACATATAGCTCCCTTATAAGGCCATAAATTATTTATTTGATAATATTGAAAATATTATTATTATACTTGTTGGCTTTCTTGCCAAACTTTATGGAGGTGCTGGTTGGCAGATTCTGTTACCTTTGGACACAGCCAGGCTAGCAGTTTCCAGTCTTAATGGTAAGCTGAGCAAACCGGCTGTTGGCTGTAGCTTCAGATTTAGCTCACAGATATGAGAGTGGTATCGATCTTCCCATCTAACTCTCTGCAAGAAAGCAAATAAAAGCACATTTCCCAAAATGTCAAAGTATTCCTTTAAAAGAGACCAAATGACATTGAACCACAGCACTTCCCTCATGACAAGGTGAAGCTTGTTATTTAAAATGCAACATCACATGACTATGATGCAAATGAGCATCTTTTCCTTGATCACCAATCAGGATAACAAGGTATATCATAGGATTTTGATGCCCCAAAATTACTTGATTAGGTTGCCTGATAAAATAAAAAAAAAATAAATAAATCAACAAACGTGTGAGGCTACTGGTTTGCTCATCCTCCCCTATGTTCCTCCTCAACAATATAAATCCATGTATTTCTTTCTTTATCTTTATTTCCTTCAAATAATTCATGAAAACATGATGGTCTAATGGTCAGAATGTAAATTAGAGTAAATGTGTTGCTGAAAAGTTGGATATCATTGATTATATTTCTAACACTGCCCACATGCACTCTTGCACATACACACACACATGCCCAACACGCATTAAAGTAAGAGACTTGAGGGTAGCAGCAGCAGCAGCAGCAGCGGCAACACTCTTCTCCATGCCCACTTCACCATTCCTTCTTACGACCCTTGGTCTGGGTCACATCGCTAAGCCTCTCTGGGCATAGAGGAGTCAGCCAGAGGGCTTTAGCTTGCCAGTATCCACACTGCAATCACACACACACAAAAAGAGAGAGACAGAGCGAGTGGAAAGGAAGGGAGAGAGAGATACTTTCAGCCAGCTTTTTCTCCTGCTCTCCCCCAGCCATTCAGAGGGGTAAATGAAAAGAGGGGATTCAGGGAATGGCTGAGAGAGCGGAATTGGAGTTGGGGGAGAGGGGGGCGGGAAGGTAGGGACGTCACACTGATTACAGATGAGGGCAGGGACAGACAGAAGAGCAGGAGGGAAAGAGGGAAAAAAAGGGGGAATGTCGTGCATGGGCATCTCTCTTCCTTATAATCTACCACTTCAGATGCGAGTGTGACTATTAACCTTCCCCTACACCTGAGGAAAGTGGGAGTGGGCTCCTGGCACATCTCAAACACGCCCCATGCATAATTCATGGCTGCTGCCATGGTGAGATGAAAGGCAGGAGGGTTCCAACACAGAGGAGAGCAGGGAAAATGAGCTTGCCACTTTTTTTTTTTCTTTTCTGGCCCTCTGTTCCCCTTGCCATCCGTTTCCTGGATGTTTGTCCGGTCTCTGGGGCCAAATGAACCCAGTTTGAAGGCTCAGTAGCACAATAGCATACCCAGAAGAACTGTGCAAAGAACTGCGCTACCTACACAGGCAAAAACCTAGTACATAGTATCGAAACATTTTGAGTTGAGGACTTTACACAGGGCAAGCTGAGAGGGATGTATCATATTTGTAAGATAACACACTCGTGTGGTCTCTCTTCACACCCTTCTAATGCAGGGTTCACACTCAAGTAGCTCTTTACACACACAGACAGGTCCTGTTGGAGCTATAACCGGAATTGACTGTTTTGAAGAACATGAGGCAGAGTGGGACCTGAAAGGGAGAGTACACTGAATGAGTGCATTAGGGGAACAGCATGTTACTAATATTGCTGTTGTTTGTGTTTTTCCCACCAGATACTTGTTTGGCACACGAGAACGGAGAAACCTATCCTTGTAAACGAGGGGAAAAAGGGATTTACAGACCCCAATGTGGAGATCTGACTGTTTCCTCTCAGACCATGGTAAATAAATAATATTTCATACACTTTGAAATCAGTTCAGTACTCATATAAACAAATTTCCTTCAGAAAGGGAAATGGAAATGTCATGATAATTTTCACCTGGGTTTACTTGGGCCGGTCAGACTACAGGAGTTTTGGCCTGATTTGTTCCAATGCACGCCCAACAATCAGAGGAGAAATCTGGCTTGGGACCCAGGTCGGGACCGATGGTCAGACCAAATTATTACATTTTTAACGTGAGGGGTTTATAGATTCAGTCTTAAACCTTCCGAATTGCTCGCAGACTCTTCGGGGCCTTTGGTATTTAGGACTGAAGATTTGGATGATTACACCAGTACTTTCTGTGCAGGACCACAAAAGCCAATGAGAGATACAAGTCTACAAGGAGACATTAACGTTAAGGCCGCTACGCATGATCAGCAATTAAACCTCTCTGCGCTGGCTGTGCCATTGTTCTCCTACGGGGAAATGGTTGACGCGGTGCACTGCTCAAAATTGCCACAGAGAGCTTTGCTCAAAGTTCAAGTTATTTCAACTTTGACCTCGGCTGCCGCTGAACTTTAAAACCGCAGCCAATGAGATAACAGCTGTATGTGACATAGTGTAGCAGTGGCACATGCGAGCAGGGGAGGTAGAGAGCAGAGTGATGGAATATATTTAACTCTTCCCCAAAATCAACATTATAACACATTAAAAACATACCATAATCTCACCAGGAAAAGTAATGCATGAAAAAACAGTAGTCAGATGGAGCATCTACCAACTTTGTGAGTAGGCATTATAGTTTAGCTTGCTATAACCACTGCTAACATTTGTATTACACTGTATACTGTCAGTGGTTGGTATGTATTTTTGCTGACCGCACTGCGCTTTGCCTCTCCAAGCACTATGGTCTGTGCCCTGCCTTGCTGCAAGCACGGAGCAAATCTCTTATGTGGAGGCAGGTTTAGTCCCGGAGCAGCTGACGGTGTTGCCAAGCAACATTCTAGCCCTTGAGGCTAACGTTAGCTAGCATAGACAACCCATGTTGACTGCGTCTTCCAGACCAGCTTTTGTTTTTTCTCACTGTAAAGCATCACTACAGCAAGTTGTTGCACCATGTCTGTCTCCATTTTGCATCTGCTTCCCCATGAGGTCCAGTGAGATCATGTGAGGGGTGCACTGCTCCCTTTGGCATGATCATTTTTAATAATATCCTGTAGTGTGGGATGCGCCATTATTTTTCACATCCTGTAGTGTCTGCATGTTTGCGATTAGAAAGAAGAACATTTTCAACAGTTTTGTGATTCGTGATTGTGTGTCATTCAACCCAATTCTACAATTGGTTATGATTTTTCAGCTCCTGTAGTCTGAGCCCGGAGTACAAAAAGAGCAGGTGTTCCTAATATTTCCTAATACAATGTACATTGATTTTTTAATGTGATTTTTGTTAAGGCACAATTACAGCAGCTGTTATTAAATGTCACCAGTGAAATAAACAGGTTATATTATCTTAAATTAAGGCTTAGGGCTCTTTCTCAGCATATCTTAATCCTTTCTATTGCAGGTGATTGGACCTGCAGAGGAAGAAAGTGGCCGGGTCTCTTGATAAGTGCAACCAGCACTCATGTCTTAATCATCAGAAAAAAAGGAAATGGGGAGCCTTTGAAAGGGGATTTAATCCTCTTGACTGAATCTGACATTTTTAAAATATGGACTTAAATGGCATAAATGTATCATATTAAAGCACAGATCAGTAAGAGGGGGCAGGTGTCAGGTCTATGAATGGAAATCAGAGGTGACGACATGAAGGACGCCTCACAGGGTCAGTGTGGACAGATGTGACGTACGCCTTCACGGCCCACTGAGGACAACCCAACAACAAAGAGACAGCACAATATGAAAAGCATACAGCCAGCGGATTCAACCAAACAAGCAGGTTGAAGAACATCCTTCACCTCAAAAAGAAAAAACGAAGGAAATAAAACACATATTGTCTGGATCTGCACATGCTTCTCCTTGGATTTAAGGACACGGCCTACATCATCAGCCTGGATGAAAACATGCCTCCAAGGACAGATATGTCTCATGTGGATTTTCCTTTGAGCAAACACAAACATAGCAAGGGAAGGAATGTTATTTTGATAACTATGAAATGTTTGCTTTAATTTAATTTAATTGGTCTGGGTGTTTTCAGACACTTGACTTGCTAGTTCAATTCTACTGACCCTACATTTACTCTTGGGTTATCATTGTTCATTTTATAGTGTCATTACATATCATGCATTTAAGCCATCCCCGGTCACTTGCAGAGACACTGCTGTTTGAAATGTTGAAATGCTTGGGAGCGGAAACATACATGTACACGTGAAAATCCTAACACTCTTCTTAGCACTTAAAAAAAATACACAAATGATGTTCCTTTGTGGCAACATGTGTAAATAATAATTCAACATGAGAACAATCAGAAGATAAGTGACAAATTAGAACAAAATAATTGTAATTATTGTATTCATAGGTTAAAAAAAAAAAGTCTTCTCTTTTCCCCACTCTTTGAATTCTTCACAATGACACACGACAAGGCACAGGTTCACTCTAGGTTCAACACATGGAAAGAGTAATAGCACATCACCAGCTTCATTTGGTAACAGAACCTCAAAACACAGAGACAAGAACTTCAGCTACACGGTCGACTCACAAAATGCTGATCAAATGTAAGTCATTGGTCTTTTTTGACGTCGCTCGTATGTACACAAGCCCTCCAGTTAACAAAGGTAAGCTCATGTGCAAGTATGAAAAAAGAGCAGAATGAAACAGCATCAAAGTCCAAGAATTTGGTTTTACTAGACTTGTCTCTCTCCAAAAAACATACATTTAGAAGCTCAGGCTGCTGACGTTTAATACTCACATTCAAACAGCTGCTACAAGTAACAAAAACTAAATTTAAATAATGTTTGCATGGCCCCAAATATTTTGTTTTTTCTATAAAAAACTTTAGCTTCCACTTGTGAAAAAAGATGATACATGCTACTCCGAATTGACAGCAGGCTACAGAAAAGCACAACAAAAATAAACCTTATTTTTGCTAATGATTTGGTAGCAACGTTGTGTCATCTTCCGTACAGTGGACTGAAGTGGGTATCTCATGGTTTCTCTTTGTATTAGTTACCCATCTGTTGTACATTAAGTGGATTACAGGAGGGAGTCACCGCACCTCTAACGATAGACATCAGTAGCTATGACGCTGTATGGCTGAACACTGTAACAAAGTTATTCTACACCTCGTATAATAGAATCTCTCCACGACTTGATAAATCATCCGTCTAGTGCAATACACAGTGGTGGTTCTTATCTAACATTGCCCAGCAGAAGTAGCTGGAGATAATTCAAACACTGAGCCTCTGTACTGTTGCCAGAATATCTTTGTGCAATCCTCCCCCCCCCCCCCAACACACAACCCAAAATACACTGCTGCAGTATGAAAACTTGAAGGTGTTACAGTCAGTCATCAGCCAGAGAAAGCGTATTATTACGTATTTCACTTGGAATATGATAAGATACACATTCAGACAATGGCTGTATTGTGTCTCTTATCAAACTGGCTGTTTTTTTTATTGACTGCATGATATTACACTGCACAGGGATCGGCCATGGAGATCACAGACTTTTTGGATTTATTCTATTCTCCAACTTGCCTCCAATTATTTATTAGTGATCAAATTTAATATATTTATTTATGTATTTATTTCAGGTGTGGATGTGCAATTGAATCACAGCAGTGTTTGCCCTTAAATCTGTATTTTCCAGCTGCTCTCTAAAAAAGCATGCGCACATACAGTAGACCGTACACAATGGATTATCATATAGCTCTATAAGAGTTCAGTGCTACGAACAGGCATACACACACAGCATCTTCTTTGTAGCACTGTTGTTTAGTCTGCTTGAGTGGTCATTATCAGCTTTTAATCTAAATGAATGAATCCACCTGAACTCTTTTTAGCAAAGAATTTTAGTCCAAAATGGAAAAATGCCAGCGTGTAAAAGACTTAAGTCAAAGTGTATCTTTAAAAAAAAAAAAAGAAGCATAACAATTTAATTTTGTGCTAAGAAGTTTTCCTGAAAAGTTGTATATCATCTGTGGTGTGTCCTGAAGCAGCAGATCAAATCGAAAGGGCTCCACCTTGAAACTGATGTTGTTATATCTTTATCCAAACTGAAATTCTTCTGATTCCGCCAACAGATGACGTATTAAGCAATATCTAATCACAAAGAATTAGTCTACTAGAACCACCTTACCTATACATCAGTTTTAGCAGTACAGGTTATTCAGTATTTAATGTCAGTTAATGAACATTACCCTCTGAGGGCTTCTCTAAGGCACAATACACTTTACACACAAGTCCTACCTTTTCCTCATCTCCACTGTCATCTTCCAGCCTCATGTGATTCACATTTTATGCATGTGACTCTTAAGGTTGTTTATTTGCCACAGAAATTCTGTCTCAGAGAAAGATGTTAGTTGAATCAAGAGAAATAAATAACTGAGAAGAACCTCACCTGTGCTGGAGTACTGTGTCTGTACACTGTGTGTGTTGTACTACCTGTGTTTCTATACTGAGATCCTGGCCGGTGGGCATGCGTGAAGAAGCGGTAGCATATTTCAACCTCTAAATAAAATGTGAGGAATATGTCACAATTCTACAACAACTTCCTTGATATTCTCTTGAATTTGTCAGTGTTTCAAGAAAAGACATTATTAAATGTATGGGTCAAATCATTATTCATAACAACCCGGATTTTCAAATTAGTTAGTTTACTGGTTACATCAGGTTGTACCATAAACACTTAGGGAATATCTTCCTACAATTAAGTAATGTGTAAATTAGTTGTAAGCTAAGAGTTTAAGAAATAAATAATATATTAAATATATGTGCTAATATTTGTAAATGTAGGTATAACTAATTGTTTTATTGCATACATGGAAATATGTGTGTTTCAGAGTCAGGCTATTCATATGGTTCAAAATGGGTGGGAAACATTTGATGACGCTAACCTAACCAACATCATTTAGGAAAATTTTGTAACAGCTAATTTCTATGCAAGAACTACGTTACGTTTTGAAAACCATTTAAATTTTGTTATCCGTAAGTTTCAACTTAGCACTTTGGTAGGTAACTAGGTTAAGTTTGAACTTATATGAACAGCTGGTGCAACTGGCTGCAGGATTTCAGTACCACGGGAAACCTGACTACCTATCAATTGTTAGATTTAATTTACACTGGTTAAAATACACTGCTTAGTCTTCAAATGTGACAAGAGAGCTTCATGGGGCATCCTTAAAGACTATAATAGTGATGGTTTCCAGGCAGGGCTCACACACAACAGATGAGTTTTGAAAAAATGTATATCTAAACACAGCTTGCGATCTTGCCAGAAGTTAGATTTGAAAAGCAGAAGCAAACAGTGTTATATCAAACAGGCTCTTATTGTCCAGGATAAGTAAAGTAGTTCATAAGCTTCCTTGACTACTGACACAGAAGTCAAATCAGCTTTTATTCACAGTTCTTTTAAACAACCTGTATTCTATAATAAGTCTGTGAAAGGAAGACATTTTAACACTTTATTATAATCAAGAACATTTTGTGTCACAGTTCCTTCTCCAGTTATGTAGTATATGAGTGCAGATTAGTGTCAACGGAATAAAAAGGACTCAACGATGTCAGAAATACAGTCACTAAATGAAAAACTAGTCTGGAGTGCTGCCGTGTTGGCGTCTTCCGATAGGACTCAAAATGTCATGTTCACTGATGTGTGACTTTTGAGTGATGCTGGTCATGGCAGGGTGTCGGTGCCTGAGTGGACGAACCTCACGGCAAACGCCTCAGTTGCATCTTGCCCAGCTACGCTCCCATCATCCTCCTCTCCTCATCCACACTCCCCTCTCACCTCCTGTCCTCACTGGACATCAACAGGCATGCCATAGTCGGGGCTGCTGGCAAACTGAATCTTACCATCTGTTTCCTGCTCTTCAAACACTATGACCTGTGATATAGCAAAAAATACCAGCTTAGCCGAGGTCATGAAAGCACACTGAGAGTGGGTGGTCAGTATATGCACACTCACAGGAGAGAGAAGTTGGGAAAGGCAAGAAGGAGAAACACTTAGCAAACATGTAGCTAAGGCTTTTTCCAGAGAATGTTCGACAACATCAAAGCTACAGGGTGATGATCAGTACAATGTAACTGTTGACCTGTGATGGAGTGGAGGTGAAGAATTGTTGTTGTAATATATTCATGCAAAATCTCACTCAGAAAACGTGGATGGACGCAAAAGTCCGTCCACATGGCCTGTTTCTTGCTATATGCGGACTATGCAGTTGCATAGGGACCCTGAAGCCACCGGGGGGCCTCCAAGATGCCATTTTAGCTATAGACATATATTTAGAAATTAAAATGACTGTAGCTCTTGGTAGCCAAGCACCCTTATGTGTTGAAAGCGCCTATATGCTCAAAATTTACGAACTGGATGTCACACCATCAACGTAACATCCAGTAATAAGGTTCTTGTGTTGGTACGGTCAGATAGTTCGAGAGGTAGCAGCTTTTTCAAATGAATTCCCCATATTTAAAAAATTGGTAACACTGTTTGCTCCCACTCTTTAACTGAATTCTACTGGAATCAGTAACTTTAAACAGCTGAATTTGATCCATAACTGAATAAAATGAAGCTCTAAATGTTGCTTCGGCTCTCACATTCAACGAATGATTCACTATTTTAATTCTTTAATCCTGCAATTTAAGGGAACATTTTGGCCTCCATTGTAAGGAGTTAATAGTGAGTTTATAATAAGATGTCAATGTTTAGTCTATGGTACAATTTTGTAACTTTTCAGTTAGATGTTTAATATGTCACGCATTCCAAACTCCAATGAACATTTTGAAACACTGTATTCATCACTGAATAACATATTGATTAAATTTGAAGCTTTTTGTAAGTGAGACATTATTTCACAGATTTACCCTCTTCTTCTTAAGGTACCCCAGATTGATGCTTTTAAAAGTTAAACGCATGCCTCCGGACGACCTTAGAGGCTTTGGAATCCCCATATTTTCACAAAAGAGGGGCATAGGCCCCTAAAATTTGCATCTAGATCTAGATCTGCATCAAAATACACAGTGATAGACATTCAAATTGAGTTTTTGAGAATACCTTAAACCCTGGAATGTTAGGGCGTGGATGATTGTGAATGGATTGTACATGGATGAATTGTGCAAAGTTTCAAGTGAATCAGACCACTGAGGTAAGGCCATTTTCATTAGTCATGTTACTAGTGCCACCTGTAGGCAAATTGCCATCCAAATTTGGACAATCCAGAGCTCTACATGCAGAGCTGAAATTGTTATTCTAATCAATTAGTTGATCGTCAGAAAATGTGTTTTCATAATTGTGATGGGTATTTTTTGTTATTGGATTTCTGACATTTCATATCCACAACTAGTAACTGAGTAATGGCGAATCTGAAGATTTATCAATAATGAAAAGTGGGTTGCTAAATTTGGTTTCTCTTTTAAGGACGCCTGGAGGAAGTTGGCAACCATTTTTCATGGCCAAAGTTGGTACATGTCATGTACCAACTTTGGCCAAGGATCTCCTGAATGGTAAGCACATGTAGATAATACAGAGGGAGTTGATACCTGGTTGTCCCCCCTGTGAAGCCAGGGGCCTGGGACATAGAGGGTTTGCTGAGGGCCGATGGACCAGTAGCGCCCCAGATTCTTGCCGTTGATAAACACTACTCCTTTGCCCCAGCCCTGTGAACACAACCAGTGACTGTTCACCATGACAACAGGCAGGTTCAGCCAATTAAATGCTGATGGGTAAAAAAGAAACATTTTGATGACTACCAACAAGACATGGTAAGCATTTCTGTCTAATATGATTAGCATCTTTTGCTTAATACATCCCAGGTTGTTTTTAACGATAGTTGTTAGGTGTTAGGTTCTCTACCTCTAGCTACATCACTTTGAGTCTAAGCAATGGAAAAATGTGGGGAAAACATTAGAAATATACAGTACAGTAGGAGGTAAATTATCAGTCAAAACACACAATTGCTCAATCAGTAAATAAAAATAAATATAAAACTGCATAAATATTGAATAAATAAATCAATCTTGCTCTAATAAAGTTGTCTGGCCAAGATCAGGTAAAAATAACTTACCACAACAATGTACAGAGCTTGGAAGTGTGTTTTCTATGAAAGTATAGGCAGCTTGATTTCTGTTAAATCTAGAGGAAGAAAAGTCCCTTGCATTCCTAACTGTTAGGCAAAATAATCCAAACACCAGTAAATAAACTGCAATGCTATCCAATGATACAGCTGTGCAAAAAATACTATTCTTCTGGCAGATTTAGCATTCCGTCTATTATTAAGATTCTGTCAAAGAGGTAATGAATAAACTCTAACCAAGTCTCTAATTTGTAGTGCTGCTGTGCTACTGTCTGTCCTACTCACAGGGAGTTTGATGAAGGTGTCTTTAGGAAAACTGTTCACATAGAGTCTGCCCTGGAAAAAACCTGGGAAGGAGGGCCGCTGGCGCATAGACATCCAGTGGCCTGAACTCTCAAGTCTGTAAAAAAAAAAGAATTCGTTGTACTTTTCATTTTGCTCAAATCCTTACAGATTACGCTTTCACAATACTGCATATTTCATGGCATGAAAGCACAGATATCGGTTCTGTCATGTATTTTTTAAGACACATTCTGCTGCAATTTCTATCATAAAATCCATCAGTCTTGACTTTTAGCTGGTCAGGCAGCAGTGTACAGTGTATCATGTCATTCATATTTTCATGCCTACAGTAAATGTCAAGTAAAAGTTTGGATATGGATGCCAGGGGAATTATTCAGAATCACTATCTTTGTTTTAGCTATACAGTAGGTTATATTTTGCCTCTAAGTAAATTCAAAAGGTTGCCATGATGTAAGACCAAAATTTCTTACTCCGTTATGCATTTTTAGTGTTCACTCATACAGTGCTTCAGGCCTTGACATTTCCAGGGTGGTGCTGAGGTAAAGAAATTGCAATTTTTTCAATAAATGAGACTGCATAATGTCTTGGAATATATATATAGATAGTCCACAAAGTACAAATATAGACCTCTGAACAAATAATCCCAGTGGCCCTGATGTTTATTATCTGTGCAACAAATATGAGTTGAGAACACAGGAAGTTGTTTGATTTCAATCTGGTGATAATGACACTGATTTTGAATTTAATTAGCAACACACAGGAAGGCATTATAATCTTCTAATATGGAAACATCATGAGGGAAATGTATTTGCACCTTTGGGTGCACTGGGTCCTGCAAAATGACTTCATAATGCTTGGCTGTAGTAGAGAAATTACCAAACATAATGACTATTATGGGATTGGTGC